AGACAGTGAAAATTATATCTCAAATTCTTCCTTTTAGAAAAAAAAACAAACTAAGGACACATGACGTTGCCTCTGGGGAATTTCTGTCACTTATTTAATAAACTAATACATTTACAGCCAACAGGGCACGAGACATCTAAAAGTGATGTGCTTGCATGCAAACTACTGAATGTGTGCCATATTTTTTAACTTTACTTGTTGACCACTTCACTTCTTAAAAGTCCACGGGGCATTGCTCAGGATGTGGGAACCCAGGGTTTAAAAGATAATAAATGTGTGTTGGTATCCAGAGGTGAAAAACAGCCTGACCGCACTGCTGTCACAGGGAAGCTGCATTTCTTAAAAGAATGGCACACTTGTAAAATGCAAATTGGTCCCACTGAAACCATTGTTGAAGGCTAAAGTAAAAAGCTAAAGTCACTAAGTATCCTTCAGCCCATTGGAAATAAGTAGGTGTGATTCCTCAGAGAGAGGACGGAAATTAAGCTTAAGTATGTGCCTGATTTCAAAATGGCCACAGAGCGCACACGGATGAGGCGAATTGAGAACAATTTTGTGTCATTTAGAGACTCACTTGAGGCAATTGACACTTGTTGGCTCATTAAATGAAGAAGACACCTCAAATTGCCAAAGGTGTTATAGGTCTGATCAAAACAAAAGACAAAACACAAAAGAGGAGAAAGAAAATGGAGCGGGGAACAGGGTCTAGCATTTCAATGAAAACAAAACAGCAAATGCTTACTGCATCTTTCTCTGTATTTAAAGTCACATACAAAGAATAACACCCACCTTTGCAATCTTAGAAATAAGTGTTTTAAATAGATATTTCTTATTTGGAGATTCTTTTGGGACCATTTCTGCAGCAGACACGTGTCCATATAAACAGAACAGTGCAATATTCTCACAATTAACTTAAATTAAGCATTACAGCATTAGCAGTGCATTTTTTTTGTTTAATTCTTTGCACTCTTGTCACTGAGGAACAACACATGAATATATGACATGACAGGTGTAGAAATCCAGATTAAATGTGTAGTTAAAACATTAAGATTAGAAAACAAGATGCAGGTGAGTGGGTCGGAGCATTTCTGTCTACTACTTGTAAATGTACAGCTCGGAGATTTCAACCTCTACTCCGCAGCAGCAGGTTTCTTGAAGCAGCAGATTCAAGTCTGTAACTCAATTAAAAATTAACTTGTTTTCTTCTCATTTGAGAGCGGGAAAAAAGTGCATAGAGTAAACACAAGGACCCAGCATGCAACAGCAGGGTGTACATAAAGTTGAACTGACAGAACTAAATCGAGAGCCTCAAACACAATTTGACTGGAAAAAGATAAGGAGGGAGTTGAAGCAGGCAGAAAGAAAAAGAAAAACTGAGAGAAACAAGAAGCGAGAAACCAAGAGGTGAAGATATTGGAAACAGGAACAAGAAAATGTTCTCCACTAAGGGGCTTCATTTTCTTTTCTTTTTCAATTGGCAGCTTCAAAGGAATATAAATAATTGAACACCCTCACCCCATCACTGAGAGTTCTGGCCAATTACTATTAGAAGTCCTTTGCCAAGAAAGCAACATTTGAGAACTCTTAACAGGCAAAGAGAAAGGAGGAGGAAAAAGTGAGGAGGAGGTGAAATGCCTTTAAAAAAAGATGACAAATACTCTGGTTTACCTGTTAAAAAAATATTAGCAGAGAGTAAGAAAAAGTTTGGGGTTTCTATATACAAAAGAACAAAATAAAAGAATTCAAACTTTGAACTTGAGCGTAAAACAGTGTGCTTCTCAACAGGAAGCAACAAAAACAAAACTTATTTCTCCAAACGAAAGGAGAAAAAAATCCACATGAATTCTATCTGAAGATGTGACAAAACAATGTTTTCACACCTGCAATTGTATTGCAATATCAATACAATTGATAAAGACATAGTCACAAAAAATATAATATGGCATCACTTCTACAGCTGAAGTTTAAACATGAAAACTTTTTTATTTATATAGGGGTACCCAGGTAGCATGTTTGATTTAGCCATTTTTTCCCCCCTTTTTGAACACCGGATACTCTTCCTGACGTGGCTCCAAAGGGATCTGTATCTCCTCCAGGGACTGAACCAGGGACCTTTGCTTGTTAGCTGAATCTGTAACCCACTGCACTACAGAGCCAACCAGAGGTTTACAAAATTGTAAACACTTCTCATTAGAGCCCAACTCACAAGTAATGTGTATGTATATAAATTATTTGTGACAATCAATTTCAGCAAGTTAATAAACAATGACCCCATTATGTCCCCTTTTAATCATGTCATTCATGCTTCTAAAGAGTCCAATACGCTGACAGTGTTGTTCGTTTTTTTAAACCCTTATATCGGTAAAGTAGGCCTCTATTTTGGGTATCAACAGAGACTCTTTCTAAAGGAAAACAGCCTGCCCTTTTAACCAGAACTGTCTGATATAGTTAAAGCTTTATATTCTTTGTGCTGGATGCTTTTCTACCTTTAATCGTGACTTTAACGCATTCTATAAAGATGTGAAAAATTACTCAATCGTTAATTACATTTCTTTTGTTACTGGTGTGGTCTTTGTATCATCAGTGTCTGAGAATTAATTGGCTTGATTAAATGAACTAAAAAAATACCCAAGAGCTCAAACAAATTAAAAATAAAGAAAATCACATGTAAGCAAAAGTATTGTTGTTGGATGATACTGGCCTAATACAAATGTTATACTTCTATAGTTTATCATTATCTTACAGCTACCTGTGAAAAGGCTCAGGTGTAACTCTACGCATAAGCATATTTCAAACTTTTCACACACACACAAACATTTACATTTGTGTACCTGAACATAAATGTATGCAAATATAGACATTCACACAAGCCAAGCATTATTATGGTTGGGGTGGCAGGATTTATTGAGCCATATTTCTTTCTCTTTTGATTAAAAATGTCTCCTTCTCACCGTGATTTATGAGTGTAAATAAAAGGAATGGAGGGCAAGGGGAGATGGAGAGAGAGAGAGACAGAGAGAGAGAGAGAGAGAGATGCAGAGAGAGAGGGGAGGGACGTGAGAGGTGGGGATGACATCATGCTTTCAGTTGGGCTTTTCTGCAAAACGGTGGCATCCTTTCAGTCCAGCAAGTGGGAGTGAAAATAATTGGACAACTGCACTACTGGGCTGTGTGTGTCTGGCCATGAATGTGGGGGTGAAAGCCATTCAAAGGGAGGAGAGGAAGGTAGCCTGTGCTTTTGTGCATATATTTCCAAGCATAATAGTGCGGCCCCCAAAAGAGATGAGAAAAAGGAGTAGGACAGCATGCATATATGTGCCTGTGTGTGACTGTGTGTGTCTTTTTTACCCCCAAAAAGGGAGAACAACAACAACAAAAAAAGTACAAGCTTGTGAGTGAAACAACAGGACAGGGCGAGGAAGTCTGGCAAAAAACAGCAATCTCATCTACAGACGGCATCGACAAAGATGGGCAGAGAGCCCTACTGTTTTGAGACAGTGAGAGGGGTGGGTGATGGCAGTGGGGTACGGGGGGGCTAATCTCCATCAAAGATGAAGCAGATTGCACTGATTGTTATTTAAACCAGGGCGAGCAAACAGAGGCTGCGCGAGGGAGAAACGCAGTCGTAATAAACAGTCGGCGAGTGGACAGAAGACAAGAACATTCTAATGAGCCACATATTAAGTTCAGGGGCTCTAAGACGTTTACTTTCGCTCCGCATTCGTCTGTGGCCTCACTGTCAGTGAGAACAAAGACATCTGTTTGACATCTGTCGGAGTGCAGTTTTAGATATTTTTTGCCAGCTGAGCTGAAAGACACTCCAATTATGTTACCAGACAGTCAAACCACTGTGCAATCAAAGGTTCGCCTCTGTTGGAACATGAGGAAAATCAAGCAATCGTGTCATCATGAACCACTAAGAACAAATTCATTGAATGTCAAATTGGAGATAAAAGAAAATGCGGAGCAAACAGAGTGGAAAATACAATATCCCTCTTAAATTGTTCAAGGTAGACAACAAAAGTCAGCAATGACTGTGAAATAACATGTCTAATCTGTTACTTCCCATTTTAAGGACTTATCACTGACATATTCCAGGGCTAATACACAAACATTTAGCTCATAGAAATCTCGCTATGTACTCTGTTACTAACTATGGAGGACACTGCATACAGACAAATACAATGCCTAAATTAGGCAATTATTGTGTGATATTAATCTTTTTATATGAAAATAAGTGCATTGTCAGAACATTATCCAAATATCGAATACCCACACAATGACTTACAGCCTATCCAAACAGGAAGCATCTTAGCCAAGTTATTCTATCATGACAATGCTATCTAACATCATACTTTCTGGTGGATATTGGGTAGGTTGTTTATAAAGTCAGCGGTTTGATCCCTGCCTCTTCCAGTCTGCACGTAGAACTATCCTTGGGCATGACACTGAACCCCAAGTTAACCCTGGTGTATCCATGAGTGTGCACATGAATTTTAGAATTGGTTAATGTGGCTATATACAAGGAGAAGTCCATGTATCACTTAAACAACACCTCTGTCTGTATAAGCCGTGTTTTACACGTGGCTCCAGTGATGTAAACATACAAGTGCCCTGTAATTCCAGTAGTGGGATTTACTGCCTAGTCCACGTTTGCATAGACACAAAAACACAGGCCAAAGGATTACCGCTACAGCTAAATGAATATGGCTTTGGTTTTACAAATAAGCTTTTTCTTTCCTCTGGCTACTCTAAAGCAGTCCCACCTAGATAAGATGTAAACAGTCATTAGCATGCAATCTTTAAATACAAATGTGCAGTCGCAAAATGCAACAAAAGCATCTTGGAAGTGCTCAAAGTAAAAAAAAAAGGTTCACCAAAGCTTATATAATGTCCCTCTCTCCCCCCTTTTTTGTGATTACTCCACTTTTTAATAAGTTTGCAGATATGAGTGATGAACCTGTTAAAGGCATCAAAATTGAGAAGATCTTGGTACTTACTGGCGTTGGAGCCGGTGAGCAGCAGTGATAGCAGCAGAGTGATCACAGGCAGCAGGACTTGCAAGGAGATGCGCAGGGCACCACTGGTGGCCATCTTGGCTCTGGTAGGGAAGGGGGAGGGGGAGGGGGAGGGTAGGGTCGGAGTGACCTTTGACCTGGCCGGAGAGCCGAGGCCCCAACTGCACGAGGACGTGTGGGGTCTTCAAGCAGGACAGCTTGACGCTCTGCAAAACACAGAATAGGAAATAAATATGAATAAATAAAAGTGATGAACCCACAAACACTTGTTACCTATATTACTTTGTAACAATCAGATTTTGTCACAGTACATTAATCATCATACTTCTTAGTTATTATATTCTATGAAACTAAAGTGTCATAACAATTTCACTGTTGCAACAATTCCATATAAAACCTCCAGTTCCACAATGGTGGTTTTGCCCACAGCAAAAGAACACAGGTCACGACAGTCTGCTGCATTTTCTACAATCCCTCATTGGCGGTAACGCATAAATGGAAGAAGGTAACAGGTTATCAGTGGCACAGCTGGGAGTAAAGGCGCCACATCCCCAAACCTTTAACATTCCGATCTCACAACCACTGTTTTCTCACATCCCTCAATTAGCAGGGCAGGGCTGCCGCTGCTTTCTTTCTTCTTCGCCTCCTAATCGCCTGATCTTGTCGTTATTTGCTTATCTCACCGCCTTGTAATTATACAGGCACCTGACGATATCCCAGGCATCGTCTCTTTGTTTTACTCAAATTGCCATTAATCCCCCAAGCTGCACAGAGAGACCAAGGAACCCAGGATGACACCCACTACACTCCCACCCACACAGGCACTCCTCTTCTCATTGATATGGCTGGTGCTGCGCACAGACACCACCAAGTGGTAATACATACTCTTTAATTAACAAGATATGCATAAAGAGACACACAAAGACAGAACTAGGAGCAATCACGACATGAATGTGATGAATATGTGCTGACATACTTTTACCACTTACAGAGAGATATTCAGTGTCATGCTCAAGGACGCTTAAACGCAAAGCTCTGTCTGTCTCAGCAATCAAGCTGTGAACATGAAAACCCAAAACCGTGCGCTCTCAGAGGACCCAGATCAGAGGACAAAGTGTCAGCCAGCATCTGCCCTGCTTTGGTGTCCTTGTGCAAGACGGTGAACTCCCCCAAGCTCCAGGGATTCTGCTTAGCTGAGGTGACACAAGGGGTGGCAGCGATTTACTAGAAGGGAGATTAACTACCTTGCACTGTAGGTGGTTAACAAGGGTACAACTGAACTAATTGTGTAGACGACGTACAATTTATCACTGTTTTTGTTTTGTTTTTTGGCAACACGTTGATCTTTGATATATTTGAACAATAATTTTCTAAATGTCCCTGAAAAGAGCATTTTTACCTGCTTCACAGCTCAGGTTTTAATGAAAGAGGTATTATTCAACTACAGAGGCCAAATAAGGGAACGAATATACTTAAAAAAAAACATTCAGATGGATTCAGGGTCAAAAGCACATTGGCACACAAGCCATCATGGAAGTTCAGGGATGCATCATTTCAACGCGTACTACACTTCATCACTTAACCTCATTGTATCATGTCTCAGTTATCTTGGTGACCTTTTATTGGGAGTAGAAGACTGAGATACAAAAGCTTCCATTACCTTAATTCAATGAAATAAAACGAATAAGTAAAAACTAAAATAAATAACTTAAACAGATTCAAATGAAATTAGACAACCCTACCTACAGGTTTGCGATTTATGTCAAACAGTTAAATTCTCAGGAGAGTTAAGAAGGTTAATATAATGCAGCTGTTTTGCTGGGCTCCATTTTTTGACTGTGGCCTTGTGAGAGGCAGAAAACCAGGGCTAATTGCAGTGTAACCGAGCACCCCAGACAGCAGGCATTTAAGAGTGCCCCACCCTTCACAACTCCTGGACCAGGCTCACATAGCAGACACACGCTGCTGCAGGCACACTGAAAATTAAGCCCCAAACACATAGAGCCAAATCCATATATAACACAAAATCTATTCACCTCTAAACCCCCCAGTCCTCCCTATATGTAATCAGCAAGAATGTGGAAAATATGTAAGAAAAACATGGCGCAGGCACACTTACAAAAACACAAAAGGCGCGATTAACAATAGGCCTTTTGTGGCGACACCATACCAAGAAAGAGTGGGTGTTTTTCAGAAGCTCAGCTCATCTTTCAACACAATACTACACGCACACGACCAACATGTGTCCTCGCTTTTTCTTCTTCTTCTTTGCCAGGAGGGCCAGTGATGTCATTGGTAAGAACCGAGTAAAATACACATAAACAGAGAGAATAGAGGGGGAGTAAAAAATAGTCTAGAAGTTATGAATGATGGCTTTATTGTTCTGACTTTAAATACTGGGGTTGACAGAGAGAATCTCGTGTATCTTTAGGGAATAACTCTCTGTTCACAACATGCCTAACTTGTGATTTATGGGTCTCCCCTTAGGACATGGCTTACTATCATCACCTCTGGTTGCCATATAAACTTCACAACACAACTACATCAGTTATTGTTGTTGAACAGCCTCACCAAACATAGCCTAAAACCATATGGGTGCTGGAGATTAACCATGGACGCTGGGTATAGTGCTTCATTCTGCCTTCGTTTTAGTAAATGGAAGACAGAGATTACACAGACAAGTGTGCATGGAAAGATGAAAGTTGACTAAAAAGAGGGGATAAAAAGTCAAAGTAAAATATTTGGGCTAGCATGCCCCACCAGAAATGAACTTTAGCATGTCTTAGTAAACTAACAGGGTGATAGGAAAAAGGTATTTCCTTCATATCTCCCATAGGTGTTCATATGTGTAGGGACTAATAGGCATAAAATTCACACCATTTTAATACTCATCAAAGAGTGACCTCCCTGTAGATGGGAGTGTGGTCAATGTGCAAGAGACCACTCAGGTAATTACACAAAATACACCTGTACTGATGTTTACCACGGCCATTAACTCCAAGCTGGCAAATATCTGTAACTTTACCCACAATCTGAAGGTAACACAGCAAATGTTAGTTAGCGTGCTCCAGTGTAGTTACTGTTTATGTTCATTCTAATTTTTATTTCTAAAATGTGTTGATCTGTGAATCTAGATGTAAAAAGCGACTGAATAAGGAATCTATTGTATCTAAGTATTTGCAAGTAGATAAGACACAAACAGAGAGTAGAATATCACAAGACTGTCTGACACACATGTATCATTTATCAGTGAAAATCCCCTTTGAAGTAAACTAAATTAAAAAGTGCTGCACACTTTTTGATTAAAACCCATACAGAGACAAAGTCTATTCATTACTTTGGGCTATTCCCACTGATGGGCAATGAATATATTTTGAAGCTAGAACTTTTATCCCATGTGAAAACTGCCCATCACTTGAGATATTAACCCAGAGCCAAGCTTCAGTAATTACAGCCAAAATGGCAGCACAATTTCCACTGAGTGGTGGCAGTCACTGGCTATTAGGGACTCTCACTTTGACATGGTCAAGCTTTAAATTCGGCTCGTTTCCCCATGCAATATTGATACTAATGCATTTGATTACTAAGATTGAGAAAGGCACTGAGGGGAAGGGAAGATGGGAATCCACGCCATAAGCATGAAATGAGAGTATGACAAGTTAATATAAAAAGTGCGCATATGCACACACGCACACAGCCACACTGCACTGCAAAAAGTAAAAAAAATAAACAAAAAGCAGAAATGAATCCTTAAAAAAAATAAAGTTACAGGTATGTAAGCATATGGAGACCACGAGAGTCACAACTTCAATACAAGATGTTTTTATCCACTCATGCACTGTACTGTTACAAAGATAGTAACTGTAATAAACACACAGACACACACACACACACACACTGAAGATGTGAAGTTGCATTTACACTGAGAAAAACTACTTATAACCTGAGGGACCACATTAATAATCCCTTTTATGTGATGAACAGTAAGCTCACTTCAGACACACGGTTAAAAAGACCACAGTTTGGTTGGGCTTCGCAATCAAAACCGAGTGTTTGATGTCTAGACTCTCAAAAAGAATAATATTTTCAGTGTTTGTACTCCAAAAAGTAACTCTGGGGGCTTTAGAAAGAGTGAGTTTTTCATAGATTGCCAGGTTTCCAGAACGCCTGTAACACAGTCTAATTTTGCCAGGCTGTAGAACACTGGCAGCTCACCATCCGTCCAAAGACAACGATCAATCTACTGCAAAACAGCCTATACATATATATTTAACTCAGTCATTGCTGACATAACATCAACAACACATAACAACACAAGCGTGATCAAAACTTTTCTAATTCCTGCAACAAATTACTAGTAATTTTAATATGTCAGTTTTTAACTATTAAAAAAAAAACAACTGAGGGAGATATGTTAAAGAAGAAGGAAATGCTGGATTTAAATGAACACGACAGGGCAGATGCCAGCCCCTCCCGTAGGATGATGATAACAGAAACAACAGCAGCAAAAAGAATCCTTTTCCATCACTCTCATGCTCAAACTGTGCTAGTTGCTCTTTATGCTTAGCCTTCAAGCTGCTGTCTCTCTCTCTGCAGTCTTTCACCTTAGATGAAGTTTTTATGCGTCAGCCTCGTGTTACAGGCTTTTACTTCAGCCACTTTACTGCTTTTCATCGATTCACACCTTATAGAGGAGCAACAACACAAGGATGCAAGACGCTGGACATTCAGCTGATCAGGAGCCTGTATATGTGTATGAATGCGATTGAGCGTTGTATGAGTGACACTATGTTTGCAAGCCCGAAGGACTTTATTTAATCAAACTAAGATCTGCATATTCTGCTGTTTCTTTGTATGCGTTTGTGGAATGATTTAAGTATGAATGCCCATATAGTTCTTCCTTCTGTGAGTTACTCTATATGTCTGTCTCTGTAAGAAGCACAGCTACACAAGACACTCGCCCAGGCCTGAGCTATAAAACAAGTCTATAGAGACCATCTGTTTTTTACCACGCTGAAGTCCTAACTGTATTGATTCCATATGTCACTGGTAAGGAACACCACCAACCAGCTACACACACACAGAGACACGTACTCATCCCCTGTATCTTATTAGTTTTCTGCATCAGAATTTTATGCATATTAAGGGCAAATCTGAGATGAGGGTGTGAAGAAAGGTGTGTTTGTCTTCTAAATATTTCCTGATC